CAACCCTGAGCCGGTGAGATTTGAACAGCCGAATTGCAGAACTGCATTCAGCTGAAGTAGCCTACAGTGCTGCATTTAACCACTGCGCCACCCCGGCTCTCTTGTTTACTCTGGGGTTAGAAGGGAACTCGGGAATAGAAAATCTCTACTTAAAAGATAACACTGCGGTTATAACGGCATTCCTATTGGCAGAGGGAGGCCCTTTCAATGATGGAAGCCATCGTGCACTGGGTGAGAGAGGATTCCTCTGAGTTGGGTCGTCCACAGCTGGCAGGCGCTGTGCCACATGACTCTATGGCTGTCCCCATGATGCTCCTCAACTTAGTGGATCAGCTGTCAGAAGGAGATGTGGAGGTTGCAAACCGCTTCAAGGACTTGGACAACTGGTCTGCTGAAAGAATTCTGAGTCACCTTCAGGTAAAAAAAATGGATGTGGTCAGCTTTCCTCTCCATAAACATGTTTGCCTCACCTCTGATAACATTACCAGCCATCTTATTTTCTTGTAGAGGAATGGTGCTGCGGTTTTGGAGAATGTTTCTGAAGATGGCAAGGAATTGCCAGGGTGTTTGGGAAGACAGCAGAATCCTGGTAAAAAGTGACTCAGAGGCCAGGATGCTTTTGCGTTCTCTAATTTGAAATATATAGAATGTATATGTGGTTTTATAAAACACACTCACATTCTTATAGTAGTTCACTTTATTGTCATTGCACCTCGTACAACGAAATTAAATGCCCTCTTCAGCGTGCATTATAACTGTAAAAATAAAACAAACGGATCCTTCACATTCTGTACGATTGAGCTGAAAACCCGATATTGCATTAATATTGAACTACTATATACAGAAATATTGCATATAGTAGAGAACGGTCAGAAGATAGCAGTAGTGATAGATGTTACTAAGTGACAAAAACATCAGGAAGAAGTATAAGAAGCTGGAAAAGTACCAAGTCTGAAGGAAGAATCAGAGAAAATAAACGTGACCCGTCAAAACCGCGGTCCACTAAAGTGCGCCCGATTAAAGCGCGTACGTGACGTCATCAGCAGCGCGACAAATAAAATTAAAAATAAATAAAATTAAAATTAAAATAAAATTAAAGCAAGCCAATTCACATAAAGGTAAGGGTTAGGTTAAGGGTTAGGGTTACGTTAAGCGTTAGGGTTAGGTTTAGGGTTAGGGTTAGGGTTAGGTTAAGGGTTAGGGTTACGTTTAGGGTTACATTAAGCGTTAGGGTTAGGGTTAGGTTAAGGGTTAGGGTTACGTTTAGGGTTACATTAAGCGTTAGGGTTAGGGTTAG